ATCATAAAAATTGCTTTGCTTCATATCAATTACATCAAACTTTTCTTTTCCCACCCAGCGAATCATTTGAGTCCAATCATAAGGGTGGTTTATGGGTAAAGGGTATCGTTTGCGTCCTTTTTCAATACGTGCATGATCCGAGTCACACTCCATTCGTGTGTGACCCGGAACTAAAAATGTGTGATCAATTATAGTGACAATATCTTGATGCTCCATAAACCAAAGAACCATTGCCATCATAATATTGTTCTTGTTTTGGCCAGAGCAACAGTCACTATACATGACTACATGTTTAATTTCTGTTGAGAGACATTTTAAATAATTAAAAACACAAGAACCAATATCATTCCCTCCCCTCTTTGCAATAGGTTCACTCCATATGAAACATGATGCTGTTAAAGTATTTATATTATGAACAGTTAAATTATATGTCCATAACTGGCGCTTGTAAAATGCAACTGAAGACTCTAAAAGTGGAGTTGGGAGGCACTGCTGGAGATCAAATGATAAAACGCATTTATTGTTAGTAGATGTAGAGGAATCAATTCTTTTTGAAGAATATGCTTCTTCAGCATCATCCTGATGGTTTTTTTTTTCAATGTTTAATTCGTTTCTTTTTTCACTTGAACACCCACTGTTGGATAGTTGCATTTTGATCCTGTCACATTGAGCACAGGTATCTTTTTTTGGATTTTTCACTTTCAGCCCTGATAGTTTAAAATGTTTTTCATAAATGCTTCTACAAACAGGAGTTGGGACAGTTTTTGTATATTCGTTGTAAGCAGCTTGGAGTGTAAAATAAGGAGGTAGATACTTTTTACTGGTAACTTTTCGACAATAATGACTTTCATATGTTGGGAGTTTCTTAATATGATCTTTTACAGCTTGTATGTCCTCAGGGGTTCTTTTATTTTTTGGCTCTGTGTGACCCCTTTTATCAGGTGTCACATTATTAGCAATAGGTTTCAATTTTTTATTGCAAACATTGCGTAGAAATTTAGTAGTTTCGCCGAAAATTTTTAAAAAGCAGCCCTTGCAAACCTGAACTAAGAGTTTATTATTATTAGGAATAAAATAATTCATAGTTATATTCCTATTATTTTGTTTTTCCGGTGTCAATCTACGTTTCCTGTTTACTTTTGTGTTGTGAAAAGTTACTAATCCAGAAATATATGAAGTTCTTCTATTGTGGTTTTTCATTGACCAATATGTAGCAAATAATTTCTCACGTAATTCATCGTCAATTTTTGAATTACATTTTCCTCTACAGTTTGGTAGTTCTTTTGAACATCTACTTTCAACAGTTTTACCTTTATTAGTGCAATATTTGTTACCAGAATTCCTGTTTGTCTTTATGTAATTTCGATACTGAACAGTCTCACCTTTTATGCTAACTTTCCTGCCAATAACCGGATTAGCCTCTTGTTCATTGTTAGTCAACAATAAAGTGTCTTCTGGGGTGCCAGGAATTTCATTGTTAACCAACAATAATGTATCTTCTGGAGTGCCAGGAATATTATTGTTGATCAGCAATAAGGACGTATCTTCTGGGGTGCCAGGAATAATACTTATATCATCCGAATGATTAGAATACTCTTCAAACCGGTCTTCACTACTCACAGCCTAAAGTTGAGATTGAATGAAAATTATTATTTGAATAGACAAAAAATAATATTTTAAATAAAAATATAAGCTCTACTGAAATTAAAAAAATGTATTCTTCATAACATTATTGCTATAAAAGTTACAATTTTAATAATTATTAAAATTAATTAAATAAGTTAATCACCTTGGACACAAATGCATGTAATTTCTCATGATTGTTATACTCATATACTAGTTTTTCAGGCTCATTTAGTGAACAATTATTGTTATACATATATTCATCTTCAGTTATAACTTCAAAATCATTTCCATTCAAATGTATAATGTTATCTTTTGGTTCCTGAGTTGACTATTTGAACAAGTTTTATAAAAATAATTAGGTACCTAACTACCAAATTCTATAAATTGAACATAATTGTTTTATTTTATAAAGTACTTACTAATTTATTATATACTTCTAACTCATTATTATTTGTATGATTCTGTGAGACATTCACCCATTCCTGTAGAATTCAATTAATTATTTAACTTATAAAATTACATATTCTTAATTCACAATGAATACCTATTATACATTCAAGTAAAATAATAATTAATATTTTATTTCTATGTGTCAATATTAATAGAGTCAACTATTAGTTGGTTTGTTTATATTTTAATTATCCCCACTGAGGAAACCCATGTGAAAGAGCATGAGTTTTTACACTATTATTATAGATGAAATATAAATAAGTATAATATACTTAAGACTAGTTTAAAACATACCTAATCTATTTAAGTTTATAAAAATAATAACTGATATAGTAAGATATTATAAAATACAATAATTTAAACAAAAAGTAAAAAAAAAAAAATCTAATAATAGGTACTTGATAACTTAAATAATTAATAGAAGCAATACACAATTTTATTTTAGCAAACTTGTAATTCATATAATATAATATAAATAATTCAGTTATCTATGTCTACAATGACAAGTGTTTTTACTTGTATTACATAAATATTTATTAACATAATATAGTATTTTTCTATATATTTTATAAAGAGCCAATTTAATATTTTTAATTTTAATTATAATATAATAATTCTAGGATTTAGATTGTTAATTACCTGGATTTCCTGCCGTGGAAGACCATTAAAATCTAGTTTCCTTTTTGCAGAGTATTTCAGATTAGTTTTTGAAGCTTTAAATTACATTATTATTCTGAATTAGTTATTGGTATAACAGAACTAATATAGATAGATAATAATATAAAGATACTCACTTGTAACACGAGACAATAAATTTAGTGTTATTTTAAACATTGTGTTAGCTAATAAAAAAGATTATAAGCTAATACAATAACATTATATTAAGAGTTAAAATTTAATATAATATGACTTGTGCACTTTTGAATAAAAAAAAAAATCGTTAATTTTGACTTGTGTCGTATCGCATTTTAAAATACTGTGATAACAAATCCTCGTGCGACCACGACAGTGTTACCATTCGATTGGGCGTAAAATTTCACACAAAATTAACGTATAAAAAAAAAATGTCAAAAAATGACTTGTGCCCCTTCTCATAAAACCGGCCAACTAGCATTAGCGAAACAGTAATTTGGGAACACATATTTTATATTTTTAACTTAGTATGTACTATTATACCATTATAGCTATAGATAGGTACAATTACATAATATCGAACCTATTTTTGGAATAATATTATTACGGGCGCTGTGACCAAAGCGCGCGACGCGGCTCAGATACGGGCAAATATAATTTCACTGTAGTGGGGGATATTGTAGTCGTTGTCGCAACGACCGTTAAATATTCGATAAAATAAAATAAAATTGAAATCTTTACGTTAAAACTATTTCGCGCGGGAAAGAACCGAGAAGGCTACAGTCATAACTAAGAAACGAAATTTTCACCACATAATAAGGAGAATATTTACTGTGCAACGTTGTTTTATTTTTTTGATATCAGAACTGAAAAAAAAGTTATTCGAGTTTGAAAAACGCAAAAATAATAAATTTTGAAACAATAAGAACTTTTTTTGTATTTGTGATATCGAAAAATTAAAAACAACGTTGCACAGTAAATGTTCTCCTTATTATGTGGTGAAAATTTCGTTTCTTAGTTATGACTGTAGCCTTCTCGGTTCTTTCCAGCGCGAAACGGTTTTGACGGACGAATTTATACATGTGTAGCGTCCTTTTAAAGAATGGATAGGCCATTTGTAGTTATCACATACTCGACTATATCATTAACATTCTACTACGACCACAAGAAGTTGTAGAACTACGACAAAGTAGGATTGTTCATCATTCATATAGGTAGATGGTAGTCGAGTTTCACTTATAGGCTATAGCCGTTTAAAGTCTGCAATACCTGCCCACCTTATTTTCTGTAGCACACATAGGTGGACAACTTCAAAGTTAATCGATTTTCACTTCAGAATTCAGATTACTGACTTGCTAGACACTCCAACACGGTTTTCGGCTTTACATTTTTTACATTTACACACACGAAAAAGCACCGGACATTCGTTGGCATTCGTTTGTATTGCCGACATTCATGGACCATGGGAGATTTATAGACACTACAACTCTACTTTTAAACTTTCCCGTCTTCGAAACGAGACCACCAAACAGATAGGCCTTATCACAAATTCCTATCACCAAATCAACTCCGATTACCAACCTATCACCTTCATTATAAGACATAAGTGCGACTTTAATAATTCGACTGTCTCCGAAATGGTCTCCGTGGCACCAAGTCGTGCGCTCGCGAGCGTCGAGCCTATACCTCGGGTCGGGAGCAACCCGCGAAAGACCACCAGACAGCTGCAGTGTCCTTTGTCGGGTAGGCGTCGTGGGTGTAACCCGGCCACAGGGTCTGAGGGCCGTCGCGGATGAGACTACAGGAGACAACCCTTAACTGGCGCGATCACCCGGGGACCTTAGTCAGTTCTCGGGTGGTGAAGCACAGCCGTGGACTTAACCATTTGCGGTCGGGCGCGGATCGAACTTCCGGAGGTTGGCAACTCCGCACCGATTTAGACATACCTTGACCTGGCAAAAACTTGAACGTAACTCACGACTAGCCCGACGTGAGCCGGAGGGTGCAGGGCTTAGCCTGGCGGTAGGTCAAAAACGCAGGGAAGGATAACCCGGCCAAACCAAAAGATGAATGCGACGAAAAACAAAATTACCCCAAGTGATAATCTGGCAACGCCGCCAAATTGACCCTCTGCGGAGGCACGGACCCACGGATTTTGAGGGGTCCAGCCGCATTCATCCCGCGACCTGTGCTGAGCGGCCAGGTTGACGAGCCTACGGGCGATACCTGACTTTAATATTGACATTATTGACCAAATCCCTGACTCACCCACGGGTGTAAATCATAACGACATGGCAGGTGTAGCCATTCTTGACTCAGCCGGTTACAACCTCACCGGTTCAACACTTAGACTCAGAGGCGGCGTCCAGAGCCCTGACCAAGTATTCGAAACTCCGGCAGCCAGCGGGCCAGGCCGAAAAAGGAAAATCGTTGCTGATGAGAGTCCATGCGAGATCAAGGAGAAACTTAACACATGTTTCTCTGGTATCGACACGAACATTCTCGAATGCCGTGCCGTTATCGAGGAAAGGGTTAGGGTTTTTCAAATGCGGCAATACCTGGCGGGACCAAATAGCTCACTTTCTGGACGAAATATTTATCGCCAGCAGAAGGGTTGCAATAGAGACCGCAGAAGCTATAGGATAGATAGCCTCTTGAAAAGAAGATCTCCGCGAGGCTCTTATCACCAACGGTGACCTTTACGCAGATATAGGCTCGCTCAGGGAAAAAATCCGCACCTTAGAAAGGGCAAAGTAAATTCATGTGACAAAAACTCAAAAGACACCTTCCACAGCTTGCGCTAATATATAAAATCACTTGAATATATGGTTATCGAAATGGATACGATTCTGGTAGAAGAGGACAGCCCACCAAAGCCAAGCACCTCATACGCTGATAGGGTCAAATTAAAGTCAGGCACGTCAGTAAAGACCCGGCCGAAAGAAAATGGCAGAAAGGATCCTTTGCCTCCTTTAACACCGGTTATCGCCAAGAAAGGGAATCCGAGTGCGGCAAACCGAGAAACCGACAAACTAGTTGATGGACCCAGGACGAAACCTAAAAATATAAAAGTAAAGAAAGCAAACGAGAAGGCTAGGGCAGCCACGGTTGGCCCGTGCATTGAAATAATCGGGGACCAGGAAAAATGGGCTGACATAAGGAAGTCTATTGAACAAAAAGGTAGTTGCCCGAAAGTACGAATTTCGAAAAATGAGGCCGGAATCATCCTATTCCCTGAGCATCCGGACACTCTTAATGCGCTGCGAAGGACCAGTAATCTCGCGAAAAGAAAACCCCCTCTCCCGAGACTAATCATCTCGGGGGTGGACCGGTTACTCGAAGGGCATGTTCTGTCCTGGAGTCTCGTTAACCAGAACCGGGAACACCTCGGTTTGTCGACAGAGGACGAAGCAGGCATAAAGCCTCTGTTCAAAACAGGTCCACGTGACAGAATTTCTGCAAATTGGGTTATCGAAGCACGCCCCGAAACGTTCGCAAAACTAGAAAATAAATCAGCATACCTAGGGTTCTCCAAATGCCGCATTAAATTATATAGTAGTATTCTCCAATGCTACAACTGCCAAAGGTATGGCCACACCGCAGCTAGGTGCAGGGCCAAGGAACCTACATGTAGAAACAGCTCGGTGAGCCACGACTCGAGGAACTGCAGGTCCGAATCGGTGAGATGCACGAATTGTAAAAACAGGGGTCATAAGTCTTCCTCGATGAAATGTCCTGCCAAATCAGGGGCCGTCAGGACGATTCTCCGCCGCACGGACTTTGCGGTCTTAAAACCCCCGGTCCTAAGCGCACAAGTTGGTACCAGCTCTGGAAATGAATGTGGAAATTAAAATAATCCAGCATAACCTTAATAGGGACCGGGTTGCATCCCACCAACTAAAACAGATCTGCCAAGAACAAAAAATAGATGTCGTGCTTGTTCAGGAACCCCTTGTCGTGAACCAAAAATTATATGCATTTGAACGCTGCAGGCGGTCGCTAATTAGCAAGGACGTGATTGCGCGGCAGTGATTGTCCTCAATAACCGATACCAAACGATCAACCTTCGGGCCACGTGGTTGCCGTTAAGTTCACCTACGGTCCGAGGCCCAAGGACTACATGGTCCTGGTGTCTGCCTACTTTAAGTTTAATATTCCGACCTTCCTCCATACGCAGCACCTGGACCAGATCCTCATGAAGGAAAGCCGAATGGTCATCAGTGCAGATACCAACGGTCACTCAAAGTTGTGGTATTCTGAAATCCCTAACCGTCGGGGAAGGATAACAGAAGAGTTCATCAACAGGCATGGTCTTATAGTCCACAATGTTGCAGGGCAACCTAATACGTTCTGTCGGCAAGATGGCCTCAGTTCAAATATTGACGTCACGATGACGACAGCGGACATAGGGGAGAAACTAACAAATTGGACGGTCAATGACCTTACCGACAGTGACCATCGTGTCATCTGCTTTAACCTACTAGTAAAGAGACCTCCACCACCCAGAGACTCAGTCAAACCCCGATATAATACGAAGTCCGCACTCCGCAGACTGGGACCTCTTTAGGACAACCATACTTGGCGAATTGGCCGAATCCCAAGCATTGACATTAACGCCACAGCCGAGGGCATTGCCCATGCACTAACGAAAGCTGCTGAGTGCTCAATGAACAAGATAACCTCTGAAGGTCAGTCGAGTAATAACATATGGTGGTCACCGATCCTGTCGACACTACGTCAAACCCTGGCTCGTGAGAGACGTCAGGGTTTGAGGACAAGCGACCGCAGGGAATACAATAGGCTTCGTAACGAATAGTTCAACAGTATAGAGTAAAAGCCGAAATTACGAATTCTGTTGAATACTGTTATGTAATTTTACGAAAAACCAGTTTAATTCTATTTTGGTATACCTATAACAATTTTCTGGTTGGATAAGATAAGCCATAAACCCATACCGGCAGCCGCCGCACCGACAACCAGAAATTTGTTTATGTATATGGTTTTCGGCTCTGTCCACTTACCACGGTTATCTGCTTCTGATACCAATAATACCTATAGGCTATAGTATTATTGAAACTATAAACTCGTCTTCACGATGCGTATAATATGCTTTGTGTCATATCACAGACAGTTGTATACTTATTAGTTATTACTTATTCTTGAACACCAGCTCTCGCTAATTTTTTTTTTTTTATTATTATTTAAAATACATCTACAATCTATACAGTTATTTATTGTAGTACTGTTCTTGAAGTTTCCAGCGGTACCGGTGGTTTTATTTGGCTACACAATTTGTATCTTAGTAAGTGTTAAATACCGAGGGTGCTGTGAACTCCAAGAACACATAGCGACCCCGCGCACTTTGCTTCTTGTACATACATTCGTGGCCGTGATAAGCTGCTCGTTTCCAGTCCATTATATCTTACGGTTCATATTATAGTCCGTGTTATCATAGATTAAATATACTAGTATATTAGTATATTTAATCTATGGTGTTATAATACGAGTGGACAGTGATATTGTGATAATTAAGTAATAATCATCATGATTCATGAACTAATTAAAAAGAATGTTGGTATATTATTATTATCATAAGCAGCAATAATTTACCTACCAATATAATATGCTACTTATAAATAATTAATACGTATATCTAGTCGTAATAGATATTTTACCTAATACCTACATTATTATATTAACTATAATAATAATATATAGGTAGGTCGAATGCATACATGACAAAATAAATTTTTCATGGTCGTAGGTATATCTAATCTAAATACCTTGCCTTTGTTGTAGCGTCTAAATCAGAAAATATTTTTTTCATCTGTATATATAAGGACATAATTGTGCATCAAAAATGAATTTTTTTTTAATCCTATGGCCCACTTGGGGAGGTGTTGCATATCAAATCGAGGGATATTTTTGTTTTTAATTGTTCGAGCGAGGGCAGCGATCGAGTGACAACGCTCGGTGACTCAGTGCAACAAAAATGGTCCTCCGCACGGTATTATAGACTATAGTAGTTTTTCGGAATGCGGGTATGCGTATAAACGTAAAATCGAAAACTTTGGAAGGCCATAACTTCAAAACCAAGTGTGAGCGACAAATTCTGATTGCACCATCGTTCTTAACTCGAAGAGTTACATGAGTTTCGATAAAAAAAATTCAAAATGGCGAGGGGGAACTAAACTGCACTTGTTCCAATAATAAAAATCTTTCGACAATTCCTTGATGTTGTATACGACTATATATTATTAGATCGCGCCGTTCGAAGATAGGGTAAGGTCTTTCCAGTTCCAACGTTGTCGATTGTCGATAACGACGATTAACACAGTTATAAATATATTATTTAGACGTAGGTATGTGCATTGTGCGTGCCACATTATCATTGAAATTAGTAATACAATAATATAATATATTATAAAATATTTTCAAGTAATAAAAATTATAGGACGCGTACGCCAAATAAGACAAACGCGTTTATATACATGAAATTATATGAAAATTAATATTTTTTAATTTTATTTCAATTATATTTAAGGCTATAACTACCTATACTTTAATTATAAATATATGATAATTATTTATATATATTATTGGCTCTTATACGTGGGATAGCCGTTTACTAAACGGCATACTTCTTTGCAACGGATTAACGGATCTGAACCAAACTTGGCACGGTGATAGTGTGGACATCGCTGAGTGCCAACAAGTGGTTTTGATCGATGTCCGACCTACCATCGAGGAATAATCACCGAAAAACTAAATTGAAACTAATTTTGATACCATATATAATTTTGTTTCCATATAGAAACATAGAATTTTACGACGATAATAACACCACAAAATTATTGTTATTATTTGTGATATAATTTATTATCAATGGTGATAACATATCAACGAGTCAACAAAAACAAAATTACGAAAATGTATACTAAAATGCGATGAAATACCGCCTGAAAACCATCTGTACTGCAATAAAATAATAATAATACCAAACGGAGAACCCCTGGTTTTACTAAAAACAGCCGCTCGTGTCGTGTCGATCACGGCCTACTTTTCGTGGACCGCACTATAAGGACGATGGCTCCCAGACCAGCACCTGCCGCGAAAAAGCTGAGCTTATCCTCAAAAGGTGCGTACCATCTGATCCGAACCAAGATGACCTCGCACATCAGGGACCACTTGTTGACAAAGCGATACCAGAGTCGGAAACCATTAAAGCGGCTATCTAGCGAATAAAAACTTCAGGCACCCCTGGCATCGATGGAATTAAAGCTGGTATGCTTAGGAAGGCATGGCCGGCACTTAAAGATGTAATTACAGACCTGTTTGGGCAATGTGTCAAAGAATGTAAGTTCCCTGATAGTTGGAAGATAGCGAGACTTGTCCTTATTCCCAAGCCTGGGAAGACGGACATGAGCCAGGTCAAGTCCTTTTGGCCTATCAGCCTCCTCCCAGTACTTGCGAAAGCGCTAGAAACAATAATTATCTCGGACATTGTCAAGGAGACCAGCTTGGATACCCTCGCTGAACAACATGGTTTCACGTCGGGCAAGTCTACCATAAGCGCCATCGAGGATGTATACAACTCGATCGATGCGTCTAAGTCCAGACATGTGTTCTTGTGACCGCTGGATCTTGATGTGAGGCATCAGACCCTCAAAAGGAAGAGAACGCGACAACAGATAACGCAGGAAGAGTTCGAGCAACTAAATGAACAGCTCATGAACATATGGCAGACACGTTATGACTCTTCCGAAAAAGGCAATTGGACAAAGAAGATGATCCCGTCAGTACAAGCCCGATGCAGCCTGCCTTTAAAGCTGGATCATTATACCACGCAGTTTCTAACTGGTCACGGCGATTTTAGAGCCAAATTGTCCAGCTTTAAGCTGGTCAACGATCCTATCTGCGGGTGCGATAGGAAGCCCGAGATGGTCACACACGTCCTAAGGTTCTGTCCTAGGACCTTGACAGCCCGAAACACGCTGAAGCAAGTCCTCAGAGAGGAGGACGAAGCCTGGCCGCCAAGAAACGGGGTCTTCCTCAGAACCAAGAGGACATACGAGGCTCTAAGGACATTTTCAAGGGAAGTCCTCTCGAACAGAAGCGACCGATAAAGTTGAAAAGTGGACATAACATAGGTCCAAAGACCTGAATGGGTCAGGACGCGGCCTCCGTCTGCGACGGAAGGCGCAGCACTCGAGGTGTCTCGAATGAGTTCGTATGGCGCAAGTGGCAGAAGCGGGAGACACGCTCGAGTGCGTCCTGACCCGGGACACACTCATACGTCAGGGACGAGGAGTTAGGCCCTGGGGTGGGGGCCTTGGAGAATACTACCCCAGTATTCCCTGCTTGTCGTACGAGGCGACTAAAAGGGAACTGGCCAGTCGGGGCCGGCGCCCGGGGCGCGGACGCACCGAAACATCCGGGGACTAGGGCGTTGGGAGTTCTGACCGCGACCTCGTGAAGAGCGGGTCGGCCATCTGGTGACGCCTCGGGGAGGCGTTGCAAAGGCCCACCGTGAGCCCACGGTACACGGCCCAAATCTCGGGAGGACTATAAGCTGAGGCAAGCCGCCGATGAAGCTTCGTCCGGGCATCCCACCATTGATGTGCTTTACCTAACGAGAAGCGTGAATGGTACTTCGGGATGTGAGGGGGCCCCTCGGTGTTGAGAGATTAACATCGAGCCCTCACACGTCGATCGCGGCGGACACTGTGAAGCGCTCACCCAACTTTTCGTTGGTGCTATATACAGCGAAGGTTGTCCGTAACCAGAAACGGAAAGCAACGTGGATGATTGCGACCCCACCAAGGTGGCGAAAGGCACCTGTATGCCCTAGCCGGATGGTACGGGCATGCCGTAAAAACGCGTGCCCGGTGCTCGTGGTCCTTAGACGACGTGCGGTCGTCTGTCTGTCGACCACGGACACGTCAGTCATGATCCGTCATGCAGTGTTACGAGTCGGCCGGCGGCGGTCGTAATTCCTCCGCGGCTCTTGACTAGCGCTCAGCGCTAATATAAGGTCCGCGGTTGTACCGCGAGGCGCCAAACCTGGGATCTAGTGTCTCCGAAATAGGTACTCACTTACAAGGGCTATTTTTTTCACGTTATTTTTCATATAAATTAAATAATAATATAAACTATACAGGAACATATCGTACATTATTATTATTTAAAGTCATCGTCATATTATATCACACAATAAATAGGTACATGTTATATTTGTTTTATTAGGAATTATTAAAATAATTGCATATTTTTCAAAATTTCCATGATTGTTATATAAATAAAGTTTGTATTTTATTTCGGATTGCCTACCTAAGTGGCTAACTTGAAAGTTAATCGATTTTGACTTGAGATGACTGACTTGCTAGAAACTAAAACAAGGTTTTCGACTTTACAGTTTTTACATAAGATAAAGCACCGGTCATGCTACGGCACATACCACTCTATGTGCAGGTATACTCTATATAGGTGATCATGGAGATCGTATCCAGCCTATCCATTTACAACGTTTGTGACGGATTGCTAGACGCTCAAACTTTTAACATTCCTGCCAAAGCGTCTAGCCTCATCTCCAATCCATATCACTAATCCTTATCATAAATCCTAAACTTTCGTCCACGGAAGTGTTCATATCTCACCGCAAGTTATGATAATAAAATAGGTATAATCATTGATTATGAATACTATTTATAGCAATAGTATAATTTAAATAAAATTTTAAAACCTACTAATAAATAGTTTATTATTATCAGATATAAATAATAAATATTATAATCATTATGATAAATAGGAAATTAGATAATGATGTGCCCCGTTATAGAGAAAAGCGTTTCATAATTATAAAGTGCACTTATTCCACTGACAAAATGGGTGGTGCAGAAAGTGGGCACTGAGTGCACACGAGTGTTGCACTGCAATCAAATCGAATACAAAACACTCCATCAGTTCACAGAATACTGGTCAAATCAAATACGTTTTTGCACTCAGTGAGCACTGAGTGCAAAAAGTGCGTAAAATCAAAAATGGTAATAGTAAGGATTGTTCGCCACATTTTATCGTAGTCATAGTAATATAATACATAAATACACACTAGATGCATTCGAGCGACCAAGTCGTATAAAAATATTTTATTTCTCCACCTATTAGCAACACTTAGCATGAGCAAGTCACATGTGACTTCTTAACCCCGTTCTTCATGCCTGTTTACCATCTTCAAATACGCTTATTGTTCTCTTATTAGTATAGATTGTGTTATTCTTGTGAAAATGAAAAAAAAAATAAAAAAATTTCTCCACCTATTTTTCGTTTTTCGTATGATTTTGTTATTGCTAAATCTTTTGGAAAATTTCGCCAATGCTATTTGAGATGATTCCAGATATGAAAAGAAAAGTTTAGAATGGTGGCAAACTGCGGTTTACTACCAAGTCTATCAGAGATCATTTAAGGATAGCAATGGTGACGGTATAGGAGATCTTAAAGGGAACGTAACCTATATTATTATTTTATATTATTATTATTAATTTCAATGTTTTATTGTGTGTTTTTGAAATTTTGTAAAGGGATTTAAGAGAAAGCTGAACACTTCAAAGACCTAGGAAAGGACTGTGTTTGGTTATCAGTGAAATCACTATTGAAATGTCACCAATGTAAAATAAATTAATAACGAACAGATTATAATAATATGTAGGTACGTTCCTATACCTACTCTACAAATGTTCATTGATAATAATGGACATAACAAATTTCAGTCACCACACGAATGCCTTTAGGGCTTAGGTATAGTCATCATTTATGAGTTATAATGAATACAAGACATTGTACGAGCACGACATAATATAATATAATATAATATAATATAATATCATACACATAATTGGACTCATTATCTGTACCTAATATTAGTTTTAACAATTACCATTTATTATAAATACTATTATTTATATCAATGCTATTGCATATTATACGATAAACCATCAAATAAAAATTGCAACTAACTACATATTATAAGAATAATATGTGACATCGTTCTACCTTTTTTTTTCGTTAACGCTTATTACCTATATACATATACCTACATACTTAGTAAAATAATTTAACGTTTACTTAATGTAATCTAATGCATATACTTTACAGTATAAATTATAATATTTTTCAAGCTTGCAACCACTTTATTTTATTATTACTTATTAATAATGCATAATATCTAAATGAAAAATAAGTCCCCCACCAACTTGTTTTCGGCCACTTTTATTGTTTCCCGTATACCTAGTCATTTCCAGAGACTTCCGACGCGGACCACCTACAGCAGACATCATACATTATATCAAAGACTAATAATACACTATTAAACAATTTAGATTATTTTAATTAGATGCCAGATATACAATTCTACATTCATACATGGCCAGTGTTTAATTATATATTATTATAGAGCCATACACGGGAAATAAACGAAAATTATTTTGTTTTCTAGGCAAACCGAATTAATGCTTATACCTACCGACAAAAAAGAAAAACCTGTTGATTTTGTAATCTTTTTGTAGGTTTGCCGATGGGTCCACCACCACCACTGGACAAGGAACTCCATAGGAATGGATTTTACATAGTTTACAATAGTTATGTATATTATATATTATGATCGACAGAGTCTATAATATTATATAAATGTTATGCGCATATCCCGAGATTTTAAAATCGAAAACAGTATTTTTCTAGCTTGACATTATTTGTATGCATACCAGAATACTTATAGATAATGATTAAGACTTGGAAACACGAACGCTGTTTCAAATGACTCGAATAATACCGATAAACCATTGTATTGAAAAACTATATTTGTGGACATTAAATTACGCGATACACACCAGCTTACATCCTCTATCTTTAATAGTAAAATGTCCTTACGCATAGTCAATATATGTGGCACATAACACATAGTTTAACATATTGTCTTATGTGAAACATAAATTGACTATGCATACGGGCCTAAAACTCTAAACTATAAACGTCTCGTAAACCGAACACCAAAAAAAAATAAAAATAAAAATTCAACATAGTTCAAAAAAAGTCCTTATTTGTCATAGCAGTAGGTACCTACATATATATTTTCGCCCTATACCTACTATCGAATACTTCAAAGAAAATATTTCCAAAACTTTTACAAGCAGTTATTTACTTCCAAAGCTATAATTTTGACTATTTGTTAAGTGTAATGATATTTTCTTTCTGAAACAAAAACGAATATATTTTATATTGGACGACTAAAAATAAAATAATAACTGATACAAATAAATGATTTTACGTTTATAACAGGCCAACGGGGAACACGCTAACTACGTTAACTACCTATTCCATTCCAACATGAAAAAAAAAAAACAAAAACATCAAACATAATTTATATGAAATAAACTATCAATTGGATAACTGATTCGTATTGATAGTTGATACGGTTTTTAATACAATCCGTAAAAATATATTAATAAAAAGTAGGTCAATTATATTGATAATTATATTATATGGTATTTTTTCGCAATTTATTTAAAGCGATCAAAATTCAAAAAATCTTATTAATTACTGAAGCACCTAGGTACTATTGTATGGTCCCTTTACAGTCCATTATATTATTAAGCATAATGTTTTCCACCCCAATAATTAAATCAAATATTTTTACTGAATGTTAAAATATAATATTCAAGTTTAGATATTCTAAAAACACAAAAAATGTAGTCAAGAAAAGTTGTTTTTTTTATAAATTATACCAAAGCTATGAGTGTTAAACAACAATAGATTTATTTTATCAATCAAAGTTTGGAAAAAATATTTTTAAATACCTCAGTTATGGTCACATGAAACATAAACATTAGATATTTAAGGGGTTCCCTGCAGAAAGAATATAATTGAATTTGCTATTGAACAAATCAATGTAGACTTCTATTGTCTTATGTTTCATTACTAAAGTTTTAAATTCGCTCTGCCGTGCATTTTATATTATTATTATCCCATCAACCAATATAGTATTAATAAACTGTTGTGCATTGGCAAGGAAATGAAAAATAAACTAGCCAAAGATTTACTTTTCTAAATGAATACCAGTTAAGTTGAGTTTACGCCTATGAAAAAAAAGTACCTACTACATATATATGTTTACTTGGAACCTGCAAACGATTAAACAATAGGTACCAAAACGCATTACCCATATCTGTGCACAGTAAGTTAACTGTGGAAATTATTTTTGTTATACGATTTTTAATATAAAGAAAGTAAACATCAATAGCGCGATTGGAAAATACAGAGACGCAAAGAAAATCAATTAAATAAGTCACAATAATAGGAGTCCAAGTCACTCGACCCTATAACTTTATTTTATATTTTGTTTGTATTATATATATTTTTTTTTGTCCCTCACTTTTAATTTGCATTCGGAGACCCTTAGTTATAACACTGGCATCTTTTAGAAGGGGTAAAGTTTCAAGAGTTTTCAAGGGCTCGTTAACCTTTTCCGCTTGGCCATTCTCAAACAATAGTCGTTCAAAGTTTATAATAGGGTCGGCGACCATAACCCGGGCCAACGAAATAAGGTGAACAACCCATTAAATTATAAGAAATAATCACAGCCAAAAAAAAAAAGCCTAAAAATTAAAACAGAGAAACGTATCCAAAGATCAAAACATAACGATGTAACATTGTAATGGGTTTTATCAAACATTTCCAACGTTTATTCTCAAGATTTTGCAGTCGAGATGCTTTAGCTGTTTCTTATATCAGTGGCTATTCGCCAAATTCAATTATCCTTACACCAACGAACACTTTATGCATGGGAAATGTATAAACTCCTTTTCAAAACATTTAACATGCCTATAGGCTATAGTCGTTGATAACAATGCTGTAGGACATTAAAACAATTATATTGCTGACCGTAGGGAAAAACTTAAACAAATTATTTGTAATTTTTATTCAATCACTAAATTCATTCATTTGATATATTTTTTTAATATTGAAAATGGTAAAGAAATTTAATAAGATACCTATACTATGTTCGATTTCTTTCTATCTTCCAGAACATATTATTTCAAAATACTTGAATAATATTTAAAAATGTTAAAACAAACCTATCGAGAAAAATACACGGGTAACATATTCTAAACTTTCAAAAGTTTCAACAAATTTGTATTCACTCGAGTATACAACTACAATTGTGTAAGAAGAATAAGTAAGAAAATAGACGGAGTGTATTCAAAAGTAGCACATGCATGATACAATTGTGAGTTATAAGTTAAAAGAAAATATACTTTAGATACATCATGAAGTTTACTAGGTATCGAATATCATATTTTATTTATCTTAGATGTACGTTTGCGTTTTTCTTTCGATTACGAAAATATTCAAGACGTATACATTTCATAAGTTAGTTTTCATTTTCCATACCAAAAGTGTAAAAAAGGGGGCATGCAACTTTCCTGTACTCGTATGGAAATATTCTGTTTTGAACACAAATCAAAGTAGTTACCTACAAAATGATTTTAACCATGGTTTAGCGTGAAATCTGTTAACGGATACTTTTGATCTAGAAAATATTTCCAAAACGGAAGCAAAATATTATATTATAAAAAGTCATTCTTTGTAGCACAGATAAGTGATAACACTGTAGCATACGGATAAAAACATCGTTAAACCATGTATGCATCATTTTACTAGTTTTATTCGACAAATCTAAATCGCGACTAAAGTTTTTTTTTTGACATAATGTAATATTAGAAGAAAAAATATTTACATCTGGTAAATACGTACCTGCTGCAGTCGAATCTTCAAAATCAATATTATTATTATTTATCCCTTGCCGTTTTTAGAGACTAAGGAGACCTCTTATCACATTATTATAGTTAAAATATTATTTTTTTGCTGATTTTATAACTCGTCGTTAACAAATAATGTACCTATGTACATATGAAAATAAAATATTACAGCGGAATCATAGAGCTGTCATATTTGCATAATTATAATATATGTGACTTTTGTGTTTCCCAAAGAATGTCGGTAGGTAATCATTGTCACATGAATCAAATGTGTGGCCATTATGGCAGTATACTAATTTACTGTAGTATACCTTCTACCTAGTTGTGTTGATGACTGTTAGATCCTGGGTGAAATCTAATTTAGAAGTTTATAGAAATAGGCATGTAGGGAAATTTAATTGGGAAAGGCTAAAAAAATATGTAAGTATTAAGAAAAGCAATGAAAAAATAAAATTAATTACATTATCTATAGTATTAATATTAAATACTGTAATTTTACGGTAATAAGCGTAATTTTCATGTCGTAAATTAATTTCGAACAATTTAGTATCCATAGTTGCATACCTACGTATTTTATAGGTACCTACCTAGTAGTACCTACATTAGACGATATTACTTATTATGTTTATATTGGCCTGCGTTGGCCTAAGACAAGATTAATATTATGTATTATAATTTATAACTATACCTATGCACTGTTTTACTTTAACATCCGAGAAGGAGCTTTCTATTCACAAATTTCAAATATACGATTTATTTTATTATAGCTTCGCTTGTGTAAAATATATTTAAATACGACAATGTAGTACTGCATACAACTTAATACGTAAACTATCAAAACATTCTTCAAAAAAAATTACCTATGAACCTTTCCAACAAATATTTAAAAAATTACATAACTTGGTATAAATCATATTATGATGATTAAATTGAGATACATAAACAATATAATATACATTATTAAATTATTGTGTATATTATTGCCTTTTATAGTACACTAATGACTTATATTATGACTGTGAGTTCATAATACCAAAACTAAATCCAGGAGTTACTTTTTTGTTGACTTTTAGTATTGTATCATTTTATTTTTTGGAGTATTTTTTTATGTGGATAATATTGTTACCATGTAACTACCTATAGTGCACTAATAGTTAATAAATACTGAAGAGTGGTATTTTATTTTAAATTATATTACAATAATTATCATATTGCAGTTAAAACTTGCACTAATTGTTTATATTATTTTTGATAGTTATGTATTGTTATCTGATGCTTAGGGTCAGCCAAATCAATACTTGGTTACAACAGACGGTCAACTATAACAGTGAAATATTATACCTACCGTTATGGAAAAATACCGGCAACCTAGATAAGAGCTACTCTAGTTATTTTAAGTTTAGACGTTAATCAGCTTCCGAGCTTATAAAATCTGGACCTTGTTCAATATCAGAACATATAAATAAACTATTTGTTCACAATATTTCGGAAACAAGGTTTTCTTTTTATCTCCTGTGAATTAAATTGAAGTCCAGCATTATAGTAATAATAGTATTTCCTAAAGTATTTTACCGTGTCTGGTCGAATAGACAAACATTTAATTACAAAAAAAATTTGAAATTTGTAGATTTACTAACTTAGACTTTTAATATTTAACAGAATGATGTGATGAAACCGAAATCCGACCCTATAATATCTACCCAAAAGACTCGACGAATAAAAAATTTTTTAGAAAAACCCGATTTTTGGCTTTTTAACCGTCATATTATTTTATTCAATCGATATAGCGAAACATACAGGACAAATATGGTAAACGTTTTAAGTAGAAGAATACTCATAAACGTCAAACACATTTTAATTATCACTCGTTTTTAATCTAACCTACAACATATTAATATATTATATGCACCCTTGAAAATATAACGGCGAACATATTGAAACAGTTCTCATGACAACCAAATAAAATAACCTCAAACAAATTTTGTTTAAAATATATTATATTATTTTATTTTGCATTTTCTCATTAGATTCTGCGATGGAGAAAAAATGTTCTATTCAACAGCTTACTGAAGAAAAGGAAATACAAAAAAAGTAATTTGAACAAATAATATACCTATTAAAAATACCCAATATATAAACGTAATGTTTTCCTAAATTTTTTAGAGTAGGTAATACATAATATTAAGCATTTCCAAGGAACGCTAAACTTTGCCCATTTTTATGTTTACTGCTTAGTAAATACTAAATAAGAATACTAGCATAATAAACCTTGACATATTTTTTGGTAAGGTTATAATAGCTTACACTAGAGAATAGTGCTTACCTCAGTACAGTGGCGTGTAACATAGGGTCCAAGGGTTGCTGAAGCGCAACACCTTAAATATGGGTGGGTGGGTATTGATAGAAGAAAAATAGGAAATTTGATAGGCTGGTATAACAGTATTATAAGGGCATGTCACCTAAAATTATTTGAGCAACACCAATTTTTTTTTTATGATACACGCCACTGCCTCAGTATTTTCTTAACGATCCTGTATAATGTTCTCTGAGTATTAATACTAAATTGTATCGACGAATAGTTATAATTAACATCATGTGCTTTCACATATTTTGTAAGTTCACATAAAATATTTGTATAATATCTAGTTCGGATCTTACAGAAAATGTTGCTATATTTTGTTGTTGATGAATTGTCAAGTACTCAAATGTATATAGTTATAGTCTCCTGAGTTTTGAACTGGCGAAGACGATGCTTGATAACACTGTCCCATCCAGTGGCGTACGCAGGATTAAGGTTTTAGAGTTCCAACTCCCTCATCCTTGAACTCTTCCTTCTACAAAAAAATAAAATATTTTTCACTGTCGTAAGAAATACACAGACTAAAAAAATAATTGTTAGTTATTTTTAATAGATATAAAATAAATTGTAAAATAACATCGAGAATCAATGATTCAGTTTTTTTTGTTGCTGATTAAGAACATTGGTAAACGTCTACCATAATCGTAGGCATCATCGATTATTACCACGTTTATTAAGCCCTGAAGATGAGGCTCAATAGATGACCAAGTTAAATACTCAAAACGTAGACTAATTATTGAGAAACTCTATAATTTATTTTATATTATAAACTGTTTAGCCAACAATAATATTGTAATGAGGAAATATATAACCCCCCCCCCCTCAAAGGGTCTGCGATTGTTCTTATGTAAGACCGTAACCGAACTAAAATCCTGCGTAAGTTACTGTGGCCTCATCTTATATAATAACCGATTGTAAAATATTGAAGAAAGAAGATTTATATCGCAAACATTTTGTTATTTTGTTGTAATAATATAGGGGTGCGATATGCTTGCAAAATTGTACTTATTCCATTGTACATGAAGTAGCAATGACAATGGGCATGCATATAGTAAAGCCTGAAGGATCGTGGGATTTGTGGTGGTGTACCACACCCATGGACTTTAAAAAAGCCAAAACTTTAAAAAAATACCAAGTAAGCCATTCTAAATACCAGCTAATATTTGATATAATATTATCATAGACAAAACGTATCGATACATTCATGCAAATAAATCTAATGTGGACCGAAACTTTTCTGACGTAGAGGGCGGTAAAAAAGCCTTTACTGTCCACTAGGCGGAAAAGGGTCATTTTCCAACGCTTCAACCAGCATCGTAAATTAAACTTTAGGTGCAAGCCTGATAAAAAAAAGTATTGAAAAACTCTTGGCAATTATGGTTTCAGCTCTTGACGGTTTTCTGCCCATAATATGTATTTAAATGCTATGTGTTATCATTACTTTAAAATATATATCACCCGATCCAGTGTGAGTAAAGCTAACCGAGTAGCTTTAGCACCATGTCTATACGTAGGTATTGAAAATATACACTCTTGAGACCAGTCTGTTTTTTATTTAAATTCTATTTAAAACATATAGGTGCTAGTTAGAAGGAATAACATTATGTAGAGTGTGTTCTTGCATATAATATAATTTAGCGATGGAATCTATACAAATAGGTACCATGTCACCCGATATTAAAGTAATCTAGGCTGAGACTTTTTTATATGGACATATTATTTGTGTTTATGATATTATTTTAATTCTAAATTCTGATATAAAATATTATTATTTTTTTTATCATTATGAATTGTAGAAGAATATAAATTTTTTTAAAGAATTTTATTTTCATTCTTAAAATAAACCATGTATTCAGTTTATTTTTACTGTCGATAATTTGAATTTATAAGGAGGCAGAGGCAATACGTTTCTGTATGTCACATAAGGCATAACTGAAATTAAAACATTCTAAACTTCAACTCTTCAGTCTTCTCACCGATTAATAAGCATAATAATATAATATCGAATCCTATAAAATATTGAAATGTATGGTAAGTAATAAATTGAACCGATTATGTAGTCTACAATTTTCAGAAGACGAATCATTTTTTGGGTATGTCAGAAATTTGTCGTAAGGATTCATTGGCTCGCAATCTCAACACAATGTCCAATAGTTTTCGAGACGATTATAACTTTTATCCTATGACGTGGTATTTACCATCAGAGTAAGATTTTTCTGATAAGTAATCGACATGCAATACAAGTAGTATGAAATAGCCGGTACTGGGTCCCCCCCGCTTCACCACCCCCCCGCCTATACTGCGCCAGTCTGCGCCACCCCCCCCCCCGCCTAAACTGCGCCACTCTGCGCCAGTCTGCGCCACCCCCGCCCACCCCCCAACCATACCCCGCCCACGTTGGCCGCACTTGATAACCCCCCGCCTCACCCCCACCTGTATCGCGCCAGTCTGCGGCACCTCCCCGCCTCACCCCCCACCTGTATCGCGCCAGTCTGCGGCACCTCCCCGCCTCACCCCCCACCTGTATCGCGCCAGTCTGCGGCACCTCCCCGCCTCACCCCCTGCCTGTATCGCGCCAGTCTGCGGCACCTCCCCGCCTCACCCCCCGCCTGTATCGCGCCAGTCTGCGGCACCTCCCCGCCTCACCCCCCGCCTGTATCGCGCCAGTCTGCGGCACCTCCCCGCCTCACCCCCCACCTGTATCGCGCCAGTCTGCGACACCCCCCCGCCTCACCCCCCAACCATACCACGGTCACGTTGTCCATGCTTGATAACCCCCCGCCTCACCCCCACCTGTATCGCGCCAGTCTGCGGCACCTCCCCGCCTCACCCCCCGCCTGTATCGCGCCAGTCTGCGGCACCTCCCCGCCTCACCCCCCGCCTATACTGCGCCAGTCTGCGCCACCCCCCCCCCCCCCCCCCCCCGCCTAAACTGCGCCACTCTGCGCCAGTCTGCGCCACCCCCGCCCACCCCCCAACCATACCCCGCCCACGTTGGCCGCACTTGATAACCCCCCGCCTCACCCCCACCTGTATCGCGCCAGTCTGCGGCACCTCCCCGCCTCACCCCCCACCTGTATCGCGCCAGTCTGCGGCACCTCCCCGCCTCACCCCCCACCTGTATCGCGCCAGTCTGCGGCACCTCCCCGCCTCACCCCCCACCTGTATCGCGCCAGTCTGCGGCACCTCCCCGCCTCACCCCCTGCCTGTATCGCGCCAGTCTGCGGCACCCCCCCGCTTCACCACCCCCCCGCCTATACTGCGCTTGATCGCGCTTGATCGCGCTTGATCGCGCTTGATAACCCCCCGCCTCATCCCCCAACCATACCTCGCCCACGTTGACCACGCTTGATAACCCCCCGCTTCACCACCCCCTCCGCCTATACTGCGCTTGATCACGCTTGATAACCCCCCGCCTCACCCCGCAACCATACCTCGGTAACTTCCACCTCGCTTGATATCCCCCCGCCTCACCCCCCAACCATACCTCGGTCACGTTGATCGCGCTTGGTAACCCCCCCCCTTGCCTTCTACCAATACCTACGTCATCACGGTCCCCACCCCACCCCAACCATACCTCGGTAACGTTGTCCACGCTTGATAACCCCCCGCCTCACCTCCTACCTATACCTACTTCAACACCGCCCCCGCCCTCGGGAACGTACGCCACACCACCCCACCCCGCTACACCTCCGCACCGCCCCGCCCATTAGACGCTCGCCGCGTGGCGTCCACCCCGTCCGTGGCGTCCACCCCGTCCGCGGCGCGCTCTGTCCGCGACGCGGCGGGCTCATCGTCCGCCGTCCGCTCGACAAGTATTATATTATCACCGACGGGGCGCCATCTAGGCGCTAATCGGACGGACGCGGTTTTTCGAATTTTATCATATTATATTTCAATATTACCATGTTAAAACGTTACCCCCACCACTTTTGGTGTACACCACGAAAAGATTAAGTTTAAATAATTGATTGCGCGGATTTCGTACCCGCCAAGTTAATTATTTAACGCAAACCAGTAACACTACAACTGCTTAACGTGAAACTAGTGCGTTTAATTCTGACGGTGAAAATATGACGGGGAAACTTCAAAAAATCGTCTCGGAGGCTTGCAGTGAACGTGATGGAGAAAATATACGTCGTTCGACGACCGTGCAGCCGCCCAACGATTTAATCGACTGCTCGAGCTTTGTCATTGACTTTTCGGGTCGCAAATCAATTAACATTGGACTTGACGCCTCGGACGTTTTCAACGTGTGCGTGCAAATTATAACGCCGTCGAGACATGTTTGCATAACAAGTGTATTCTTACATAGAATTTTCTCACTACTACCATACATACTACCGAATATAACCAATCCACCGGTTAAAAGTCGCGAGAGACTTTTTCTCAAAGACGAGAATAACACGCTTTCCAGAACTACATATCGCGGCGAAAGTATGCTCGTCGTCGAATCACGCCTACAACAAGGATGCCGTGTGCTGTTGAGCGAGCGCGATCTATTAAGAATACACGAGATGCAATGGGCCGTCAGTGAATCGATCTCCCGAAAATCCAACATCACGCGCTGCACGGTTATGGTGCAACTAGACCAGATAGCTACACATTTGAGCAATAATGTCTACGTCGATAAATCATCTACCGTTGAAGAAATTACTACAGCCACCAGCAATATACATAATAATCTCCACACGATGAATATATTTCCAAATAGTGAGAACAGTTTCATGAACCAGATAAAATTGACGGCCAACAAACAGTTGGCATTGTGTTGGGCGGGCAATATTCAAAATAACGGCATAGATTACGTGCCGAGTAATGGCGGTGTCGGTGCAGACATCGAAGAGGTGATTATTATTATACAGTATTATAGATATAATATTACATCTTATAATATTATACATTTATAAGTAAACCTAATATATTTATATATAATTTTTCACAGATTTTTGGATTCCATGAGAACGAGGGGCCTGAAATGTATACACACTAAGATTGTCGTTGCCGCTGTTAATGACAACCACATGCTCGACCTCGATATTCCGGCCGCTGACCAAGGATAATAATATTAAGGCGAAACACATGTATATAGTGTTATAATATGTATATTGTATACATATATATAAATGTACCAT